TTTTATTTAAAAAAAGAAGAAGTCATGATGCACTACTTACACACAGTAAGTAGTCAGCTCCAGAAACAGGATGACAGTAGGAATGGAAGAGGAGACGCAACAGACACACCGAAAGGAGAATTTTAACAACTTGATCATTAATTTAACACACAGCACAAAGAAATGGAGGACAAAGACGATATTCCCAAAGTCTTGACTCTGAATAAATATGATTTTAGAGTCACTACCACAAATCAGGAATTTGGGAAAACATACTTGTTTGTGAAAAATATGCTGAGTAGTTTGAGTCATTTTTGAAGGAAAGGATAATATAAATAAATGAATTTAAGTTGTGTAAATATTCTTTAGTTTCAAATATCAAAACCCAAACAGTCAAAAGGATTCTGGTGAATGGGATTTTTTTCCTTTATGTTATGCATGTGGTTCTATAGCTAACTGTTGTCAGGTAACAAAAAAGGAGAGAAATGTGCACCATCTATAGAAAATATCCAGACTTTACAAAGGAGAAAGATGTGCGCCACACTCTGCTAAGGGGCTGGGAGCAAGGTGGAGACCTGGGGGAAGCATAGCCAGGGCTTCCCGGAACAAAACTGGATGTCTTCATTGGCAAAATAATGTCATTATAACTGCCAGGGGATAAATGAGTAACTAAGTAGAGGTTTCACATTTAGATCTACCTTTGTTTGTGTGGTGGGATGAGGAAAGTTTTACAGGAATACCCTGTGACACCACAAAGTTTTAAAAGTTTATTGCAAATAATAGTTTGAAAGTAATGGAAATAAATTATGCCCATAGCACCACCCACTGGGCACAAAATAGATCGTCCAGACTTGCAGGGAGAGTCCAGAGCACAAGCCACCATGGTGAGTGTGTGCGAACACATACACACACACACACACACACACACACACAGGCAAAATTTTTCCCGTAGAGGTTTTTTAAAATTAAATTTAAGTTCAAACTCAAACAATGAAATGTTTCCTCCATGTACGTCAGCAAAACTAATTAAGATACATTATTGGTCATTCTACTTAAATATAAATTGTATAAATTTGAAAAGAGCCTCCTTCCTAGCCTGACAAAGAGAAAATAGTGTGTGTAATACAGAATTACATTGCTTGAAATCATCTATGGTAGGCTAAAAAAAAGTCCTAGCCCCACCCTAAACAAGATCGCCATGTTTTAATTCCTGAAACCTTTGAATATAGGACCTCATATATAAAAATTTTTGCTGATCAGATTATAAGATGCGAAAGTATTGTGAATGATCTTGGTGGCCCAATGTGATGACAAGGGTCCTTACAAGGGAAAAGAAGAGGTAGAGATAGAAATGTGATGAAAGAAAGCAGAGGTCAGAGTGTAAAGTTTGTGAGCTCAAGTGGGAGAAAGGAGCTAAGAGCCAAGGAAAGTGAGAAAAAAATAGCTTTTTCCCTAGATAACTCCATTCAATGCCTTTATTTTGAACTTTTGACCTCTAAAATTACATTATCTTATGCCATCAAGCTTGAGATTTTATATAATTTTTTTATAAATTATACACACACAAGTTGGGGAGACAGATTGGTGGCTCCTTATAAAACATGGGCTCATCCTATAACTCAACAATATTATAGTTGTTTATCCAAGAAAAATAAAAACATGTCCACATAAAATTAAACATGAATGCAGGTAATGACTGTATTCATAAGCATTCAAAACTGTATATAACCCTAATATCCATTCACTGATAACTGGACAAACGTACTGTGCTATATTCATATAGCAGAATGCTATGAAAAAGAACTCCTGGTACAAGCTACATGATGTTAATATCTCAAATGCAATAAGCTATATGAAAGAATTCAGGTCCAAAAGCCACATATCACATGACTTCTTTTGTATGACATTCTGAGAAGGAATAAGAAACAGGTTAGCAGTTTTCTGGATTGGTAATAAGCAAAAAGAATTTGAGGAAACATTTTGCAAATATTTCACGTCATATTGTAGTGATAATTGGTAGAATAGTATGCATTTGTCAAGAATCAAAGCACTGTACACCTAAAAAATGAATTTTATTGTATGTAAATGCAGCCTCAATATACCTAACTCTAAAAAATAAGATAAAACGCAAGTAGCTGGCAACTGCACTGGCTATTTGTTGGTTCCAAGATTTCTCCAAACTGACAAGTCCCGAGCGTTGCGGAACTGAGCAGTCACAAACCTGGATGAGGCTGCAAGGAACAGTATTGGTCAGGCTCTCACACACTGCTGAAGTTCATACTGGGAATGTTTTAGAAACGTTCAATATGTTTTTCTTCATATTTCTTCCCATTACTGTATAAATTATCAAAGATTCTATTAGTGTTAGGAAAATATGTTTAAAAGACATCTACCCAGTTCAGTAATCAAAAGACTTCTCTGTTCCTCTACAGTTCATCTACAGTTTCCTGTCCCACACAGAGCCTTTCTTATCAGTTTCATAGGTATCACTCAGAAGTATGCTATTCTAAATGTATACCCAGATTTTTCTTTTTTTCACACATGCATGATGTGAGCATTAATCCTGATATGTCAGTTTAACTGGATAGAGACATGCCTAGCAGATTGCTAAAGCACACATCTGTGTGTCTGGGTGGGTCATGGAGGTATGAGCTTTGCGGCTCTACCTGGTCCCTGGCCTCTTCCTCTCTGCCATTGTTCCCCTGCTGTGCTTCCTGGCTGTCATGAACTATGCATCTTTGCTCTGCCATGATGTGTATGCCTTCACGTCACCCAACCATGGACTGAATTCCCTGAGACCATGAGCCAATGTAAATCTCTCCTCCTTTAAATTGGGAGTATCAGGTATTGTGTCCCAGCAACAGGAAAGCTAATACTAATGGCAGCCATAGTATGATTACTATTATGCATCGCAACATTTTCATTTAATAATTTTCCTCAATTCCTAGATATTTGTCTGTATCAGTACATATGGAGTTCTCTTGCTTGCTGTAGTCTGGATCTGAAATGTCCCCCAAGATTTGGCATGAGTGGGAGGGGACAGAACCTTTAAGCAGTGGGGCCTAGTGGAAGTAAGTTGAGTTATTGAGGGTGTGCCTTCTGTGTGGATACTGGAATCCTGCCTTCTTCCTGTTGCTTGTTTTCTGGCCACCATAGAGTGAGCAGGCTTTCTCTCCCACTCACTCCCGTTGTAATGTACCACACTGCCACAGTTCCAAAAGCAACAGACCCACCATGAACACACACCTCCAAAACCGTGAGCCAAAATAAACTTTCCTGCATTGCAAACTGATCAACTCAGGTACTTGACACAGTGACAGAAAACACATTATTCTCTGTAACTGTTCAATATCCAAATGTGCATTGTTACTTTACCCAGCCTCCTGCTGACAGACTTTTACATCGTTTCAATATTTCATTAGAAGCAATGCTATAATGAACCTATTTTAGTTCACATATGGAGTATCTGTAGTTCCCTAGAAATACATCTGTCGAACCAAAGAGTGTACTGTATGTGTTTGTAAATATGATCTATAATGCTAAATGCCTTCCAAAGAGGACAGAGTAATTCACACTGGCACTATCCAAGTAAAACAGTGTTTTCACAGCTGTTATCAAGAACTTTTTGATTTCTACTACACTCCTAAGTGAAAAACCATATATCACAGCTCTGTTTTGCATTATTCTTACTATGAACGAGGTTATATATATCTTTCTAAATGTTTCAGAATAACTCATCTACTCTATAAACGATTTTTCACATCCTGGTCCTTCATTTTTCATGGTCCATTTTGAGATGTATATAAAATATGAAGCATGAATCTAAACGTATCTTTTCCTGGATGACTGCCCAACTGTCTTCATACCATGTGGGTACTTAAAAAGAAATAATTCAATTTCTACATGGCAAATTAAGACCTCTCTTTATCACATACAAAATGCTCAAATGTATTAGGCTCTATAATTGGGTTTGTTATTTTATCTGTCTATGCAACAGTTCTACATGAACTATTCAGGCTTTATACTCTGTTGTAACATGTATAAAGAATAATGTTCCCTCACTGCTCTCATTTAGTTTTGCTTGCAATTTTATTTTTGCATGAAATTTAGAATCAGCTGGTTTAGTTTTGAAAAAGCTCACTGGTTTTGTAACACCTCACAGAAAGAGCTACTCAGAGAGTTATAAACTGGATAAATGCTAAAGCTCATTAGTTGATTTTTTGAAGCATGTCAAAGTTTATACTGAGAGCTAGTGAGATATGACAAAACAGAACTCTTTTAAACATATCAGCTTTCACATGAAAAGTATAGGTAACTGAACTTGGTTCTGCATCAAAATTGTCTCTGGTATTTAAGGGGTAAAATAATTCAATGTCTTATGTACATACAAACAATTTTTATGGTTGCCTTGGATATTCTAGTAGTACAGAAGGTTGTGAAAAACTATTTAAGTTTTCAAATGGAGAATATTTTACCACAAATATTTTATTGATGGCAATTACTTTGTTTTTAAAAACATATGGCAAGACTATAAGTACAAACAGGAAAAATTCAAGAGCCTAAAGAGGTGGTTTGCAAGCAGAAAAGTGAAATGGTTAATATTCAGAGACAAAAAACACCCTGCTCCTTTCTAAAAAAAAAAAAATTATATTGTCTCAAAGCAAGTGGCCATTGGTAACAGGAAAAATGAGTTCATAATAAAAAAGAAAAAGCTAAGATTCTGAAATTTCACCTTAGATTTTAATATAAGCTTTTCTACTAAGCAAGCAGGGCCACAAGCACTGCCAGAGCTGATGCCCAAGTAAACACACCGCAAGCCCTTCAGAGACCCTCACAGCCCTCCTGCATTCCATGCTAGGCCAGAAATTCAGTATGTGATACTGCATTTCTGTTGCTCAAAACACCAACTGTAAATTCAGTTCTCAGCAAACGCCACTGCCAATTCACTGGCTTAAAGAAAACGATATCATTAATCGTTTAATACAGTTAAATACAGATTTTCTAAACACACACACACATAATTCAGAGGGAAGGAAATGTTTATTTGTCATTAATCTTTTGAACATAATCACCATAGTAGGTTTAACTGAGTAGTGAACTTGATTAATAACATTTCCAGGAGTTCACAATGTCAAGGCTAAGGTTCCGATTAAGGTAATATGGTTATGAATTCAATATACATAAAGCTTTGAAAAAGAAAAACAGGCTAAAAGCGACCTGCCCTCTTAAAGGAATCTGTGAAGACACTAGCCTTAGGAACGTCATACACGTCAGTACTACAACAGTCAGAGACAGGAAGGTCTCACTGGAAGAGCAAAAAGCAGCACCACTATTTTCTTCTCTGTGGTTGGTCAGCAGCGTGCTGCAGTGAGTAAGGCAAGGTGTCGGGCACTGGCATACAGAGAGCTGCAGCTGCGTGTGCTGGGGACGGGGCAGTGGCAGGGGCCACACAGGGCAGGGATCTCTCCCCAGCGGCACGTCAGTCGTCCTCTCCGCCACAGAGCAGCAGCAGGGCTTTCTTGTAGTCCCCAGATGTGTCACCCTACAACCCAAACGCATCTGTTAACCTCCGTGACTCACGGAATCCACAGGAAATACAACACCAGGACACATCTGCCGAGAGATTTTGTTCCAATGACTTTTCTCCCAAGTGGGTAATTTCTCTGTGACTTTCACATTAGGAATGCTAAACAAGGAGTTTCCTACCAAAGCAACTTCTTTAATTTTCTAAATTTACTTGTTACAGACATAGCTCTATCTAAGACAGAAGTACCATATCTCTCTAGGAACACAGAGAACAGGGACACCTATAATGATATAATGATGTTGGAATTGAGCTTTATAAATAGACCCCCTGCTTGCTCACATATTATGCATCTGGCTCAGGAGTAGCAAAGCAGAGGCTGTGTAGAGGTTGTTGCTTTGCCTCAAAGACGGAAAGAAAGGCAGAAAATACTTTGCCTCTGCCTCATACACAGATGTGGATGAAATATCAATGTTTCAAGCTATAAGTACATGGGCAAACTTTGTGGCGCCCTTCAGCCCAGCCAAACCACACACATTAAATTGGACGGTTTTGCTCATGGAAATCCTGCTCTGTACTTGGCTCACACTAACATATCCAATGCGTGGGGTGCAAAAGACCTTACGCCAAATTTAACTGTAGATCACGGAATGCCTCGCTTTTAAAAGAACGAAACTAACAGGAATACCTGTTATCTTAAAGCCCACCCCCCTATAGCCTAACTTCTCTTCTGGGTGGAAAGCTAACTAATTCCCTCAGTCCATCCCTCATTCCATTTCCCAGCCCCACCTCGGTCTCCAGGCCCAAGCTGAAAAGCCACAGCCATTCCTCTCTCAGGCTGAACTTATGACTTGAGCCCCCTGATCTGCTGCTGTACTCCTTGTGACCCTAGATCTTAAATCTACCTAGCAATACCTAGGCTCTTTAATCAAGGTATGACTTGGCTGGTTCTTTCCTGAACTATGAACCAGCACCAGAGACAAGGTGATAACAGACAATAAAGAAAGGAAAAAAATGATATTCTAGAAAGGAGGAAATAACAGACAGTTGGAACTGATAAAAGACAGAAAGAACACATTCTTTTCAGAGGCAAGGACTTGGGCTTGTTGAGTCCTCTGTCACCACTAGCAAATAATCCTTCTAAGTTCACCAAGAGGCTCAGCCACACCAATCTCAAACTCTCCCTGAGGAGCCACTGTCCCTACCTCAGAAAGCACTATGCTGAGTTTCACCCCTATAACTCCTAACTCTAGCATCCAACTAAAATGTAAAGTTAACACAAGAATTGGATTATCCCATCCATGTCTTGCACGCTACCTATCGTCCTGCTCTAGGCATTTAAACACAATTTACAAAAAAGGTTCTACTACCTTGCTATGGTTTATGTCTAGATGTCTCCCCAAAGCCTCATGCAGTCATGGGGCGGGCTTCTAGAATTTGTCATTCATTCATGGTCCAATGCTGGGATTATGAATGTTGAGTGCTCTACCCGCTTTACAGGGGGTATAATATAAGGGAAGGAAAGAGGCCTGCTCTCTCCCACTCCTCTTTGCTCTTGTTGCTTTTGCTGTTTGCAATTGCCATGAACTGTTGCCCTCTGCCATGTACCACCCTGCCTTGGAGCCCACTGATTATGAACTGAAACCTCTAACTGTGAGCGGAATAAACCTTTTCTCCCTGAACTTTGGGCATCAGGTATTTTGTCTCAGCAACAAGAAAAGTAAGCAAGACATACCTTAATCATGGAATAAAGAGAGGTGGCAAAATTCTTCCTAAACTCCTTCCTAATGTTAAACAGATCAACCTCACTCCTAGACACCATGACTCTGATGAGGGTATGATCATCTGTCCCGGCTCCCTTTAACAGAGAAAAAAGAAAGGTACATTGTTTAAAAACTACAAACGCAGCATCAAACACCCCTGACCGGCATTAAGTTAATAAAGTCAAACAATGTAGTAGACCTGGGTTATATATTTTAAGAAAAGAAAAATTCCCATAATCAGAGATGGAGAAACATAAGTAAAATGATAAATTAGAAGCTTCAGGATATTGAAAGGAACAGTTAATGTTTAATAGTTTGATCAACCTTAAATGCCTATATTTGTTGAACTGAGTAACCGATTTGAAGATAACGATATATACAATACATAATACAATATCTATTGCTAATTTTCTATCACCGTGTCTGAAACTCTGTATTGCTTCTATTGTTTGGGTGTTGTTTTGTTTATGTCTGTTTGTTTGTTAATATGTTTTCATTCTTTATCTTTAGAAATAAAAAAAAAAGATATCCATTTACCTTCATAGCATAGTACAGGGTTTCTGCAAGGTATCCAGGAACACTCCGAATAGATTTCACTAAGAAAATAAATAGTACAATGATCAGATGCTATTGTAACAAGAAAATAAAGTACATAGGCTAGCACTGGAGGTGTAACTCAGTGGTAAAGCACATGTGGGGCCCTGAGGTCAAGCCCCGGCACCAAAAAAAAAAAAATCTGAATTTAAAACAATAAAAAGTAACATGTTAAAGAGCTGCTTATTTGCAAACTGATCCCATTTCCTCACTCACCAAGTACATTCACAGATAGTAACTTCAGTTTTCCTTGGAGTTGTGCCCTCCATAAAGAGAACAGCGTGTGGAACAAGGACGCAAGTGTCCTCTATGCCCCTCTGATCCTTGAGCACGGGTGGATATAGCCATTTTGGCAGCCTGGGTTTTTATTACACCACAACCTCTTTCATCACCAATGAATTAAAGTAGTTTGAAGCTTTTATTCTAAGACATTCAAGCAAGTAATATACAATTACTGTTCTATCTAATCTTTGAAGAGTCCTGGACTATCTTCCCACATCCTCTCTATTTTCTTTAAAATCCATCATTCATTAGTAGCACAACATTTGTCCAATTCCAGACATATATGCAAACTAACAGCAGAAGACTTTATCCTGTCTGATCGCATACACAACTAATAGCAATTAAGTGTGCTAATACTTCAGTCTGCTCAGCTTCAGGAAACCTTGCATATGAAAATTCCTTAATATGCAAAAGTTATCCTGGAATGATGAGGTTTTTGAACTCTCCCTTTTCCGCTGCTTAAGAAACACCACCACCAGCAATAAAAAAAGGTCATAATTTTCATGTGTATTTTAATTATAAAGGCACTAAAGTTTTCTAGTAAAAGTTCATGAACAGCACATTCAAATAAAAAGCTACTTTCAGTGTTGACTCATGCGATCTTTAGCTTATCCTCAAGGGAAAAAAAACGAGCTTAACGCCTAACACTCAGAACAAACTTTAGCCAGAGGCGCCCAAAGACCCATGTGAGAACCGGGGCCACTGGGAACTCACAGATCCGCTGCTTTCTGGCTCTGGAGAGCACGTAACACCTGTCACCTGCACACACTCGGTTCTCCAGCTGTCTCAGAGTATTCTAAATATTTACTTAGAATAAAACTCCACATTATTTCACCTGCAAATAACCATCATCCCATCTTCTATTTCAAAGACACTCTTTTTTTAACCACATGACAGTTTCTCAGTTTGCCTCAAAGCTGTGAGACGGTATTCAAGAGAATTCTAAAGTTCCACAGGTATCAGCAATAATATTTACAAGCCTCTAAGACAATGCCCACAACACTGCTATTGTCTACAATAAAATATTGTCTACATTAAAAATTACCTACCAACAGCAAGCAGAAGCTGCTCCAAATTACCAGAGGTCTCCAGGTTCACAATGAAATAACAACAACTTTAATGCAGTTTCAGAATGACTTTTTAACCATTCTTTGTATCTCCATTTTGAACTAACCTGATGATCATACATTTCTAACATCAAAACGGATTTCTAAATTAGAAACTTAGGGGTGGATGTCACCCAAAAGCATGGCAAGCTCATTTTTCCACAAAGAAACAAGTGGCTATCTTCAGATTTAGCCGCAGTTGAGTAAAACACTTTCTCTCTTATCACCACAAATATTGTCTACATTACAAATTACCTACCAACAGCAAGCAGAAGCTGCTCCAAGTTACCAGAAGTCTCCCGGTCAATGGTTTCCTCAATTTGAAACCCTGATATAGTCATGTATTTGTCAAACACTAAAAAAAAAAGAAAGAAAATGATTTCTTACTCACATAAGGATGACCTTTCCAGAAAAGGTACTCAGTCTGACCAGGTATTGTCCTCCTGACCATTCCTATGACAGAGCCTTTTTCCCTGTATGACAAGCCTGGTGCTCAAGGCTGTCTGTACCAAGCTCTAAGCAATGGCTAATAAACGCTTTGTTCACTGACTTTCCAACCTCCCTAATAGTTATAACAATGAGTCCTAAAGTAAATCTGCTGTAGGAAATTCTAAGTAATCTTCCTCTTTCTTCATAAAAAGTGATTATATGACTAAATTACCCCTTTCTTTTCTTCTTGCTAGCAAATGGTTATCTTTCGAGCCACAGCAGCCAATTTGTGATGATAAGGTAATGAGCATGAGAAAAAAAAAACCTAAACTCTGCAGATAATAGAGTAGGAAAACAAACATCCCAGGTCCTGCCAAATCAAACATGGAACTCGACCTTCAGAAATAAAGCCTAGTATTTAAAGCCACTATTAGGATTTTCTGTCACCTGCCTCTGAACTCAGTATCAAACAGTACCAAAAGCACTGGTGACCATCCAGAGATAAGGTCTTGGTATCAATGTCTAGGAGGAACTATTTATTGTGAGCCAATCCTCAGCAGTTTCTGACTCTGAGAGCAAGATTCTAGAGACCCTCTGCTAGTGCCATGTAGACTAAGCAAAGAGAGTGATGAGATTTCTCTGCATAACTACATGGAAACCTAAAAAACCTGATTCATTAAATGCCTCCTAGGTAACAAATATTTTGCCATACCGGCTTATGTTGTCAAAATTTACCAAAGTATTTGTCTCACATAGATTTTTTTCACTCACCCCTTCTCAAATGAGACAAACTTCGTGTTCCAAAGATGGTGATGAATTTTTCTTCATCTGTCCCCCATTTCAGTTCTCCAGCTTGAAACAGAACCTGCAAAATTTTCAACCTCAATTAATAAAATGTTCTGTGATTCCTCCCCAGGTCCTTAATCACCTTTGTTCTTTATTCCATGAACAGTAAGTTCACCTAATTCATCATCACACACTTATCATTTCTAAACTTTCCTACTCTGATACTTACCCCTCTGACACTGGAGCTACTTGGCAGCTTGCCGCGGCTGTGCTTCCAGAGATTAACGGGCCAGAGCAGGAAAGCACAGCCAGAGTACGAGATTCAACCTTCTCCAAATGTCCGCTGTAACTGCCAATCTTTCAGGCACAACATTATGGGATGAGGGAGAAGTTCTGATTATCTCAGTGTTGGTCTATCCACTTACAGACTGGGAAATAATTTATGTGGGAGCTAAGTCATCTGTATTTTCTGTTTTGCTTCTTCTATAGCTGTCCAGCAGCACAGGATGAAAAGTATACTCTGTATTTTCTCTTTACAACTAAAATTGAAGGCTAGCTATAAAATGTGTTCATATCTCCAAAGAGCACAATAATTTTTTAAAAAGAGTATTACTGTAGGACAGTGGTTGGAATGTATCAGGCACCTAATAAACACTTGTCTTGAATCATTTGAGTGTCCATATTTACCTTCTGACATGAAAAAAGATAAATGACTGTCAGTGCTCATATAGCTGCTTTAAAAATAACATACACAGGCATTATCATTAAATCTGAATGCACTTACTGAGATGGAGATAATTTATTAAAACCCAAGAATCAGTTTATGACATCACACAGAACTACTCCAGTTGTTAATTTCAAGTTAAGTGTACCTGTTAAGCCAGCATGTGTGAAATGTGTTACAGCTGCTACTTACAGGTAGCAGTCCAAACAAGAACAGAAGGTAATGATTACTTGCACTGGAGGTGAAAGTTTGATCACAGTACTTCTAAGAATATTGATTATGGTGGTCTAGATCTATTTTTATTACATTTCCAGAGAACTAAAGGAAAAGATGAGACATATCTTTACACTCAACTTTGAAATCACTTTACTTTAAGGATAAAAATAACCAATACCAATTCTGGGGATGTGAAGACATTCTTCAAAACAGAAAAGACCATTACTACAAAAGTCATGTGTGTATCTACATTTTAGGACTATACAGATCTTTCTTAAACTGGTTTTTTTAAGCAGAAAAATAACACATATTCTTTGAGAAATCTTACAGAGAAAAAACACACATAAGGAATAAAATTACCATTTATACCAACATCCCCAGGATGATGATAACCGCCCCAGATGTGTTTCTACATGTAGACAAGACATGCATACCCATACTCACACCCAAAATGGGGAGAAGGCGCACCCTGCACAATACTGCAGGTGTTGCGAATGCATGCTTCTCTTATGAACTCTTCTGTACTTCTAGAAATTGTCTATAGTACGTAGAGCAGTTAAGCCTGTTATGAGAAAAACTGGGAAGATGTCAGCTATTCTTTACAGTTCTCAGTTTTCTTGGAAGAATTGTGTCTGGGATCAATATCTATTCTGAAAATATTACTAAGTAAATCTTTTCTTTTTGTCTTTTTGAGACAGGTTCTCACTATGCAGTTCAGGCTGGTCTTGAGCGAACTTTGTAGCCCAGACTGGCCTCGAACTCACAACGATCCTCCTGCCTCTGCCTCCCGAGTGCTGGGATTATAGGCAGGCACCACCACACCCAGCTCTAGTAAGTAAATCATAAGCAGTAATAGTGATGGTTGTGGTGATGGTGTCTTCACACAGAACAATGGTATTTAAAGACTTTGCCTTGTTTTAATCTATGTATCTTTCTTTCTTCTAAATAAGAATATCCAGTATCCATGGGCGGCTGTGGGTCAGGGACCTCTGCACCTCATACTGCCCACTTCCCTTACAGTTCATCCTGAGCACAGTTTGAAAACCCCTGGTTCGGGGCAAAGGACAGAGGCTTGGAGGCAAGAAAGATCTGGCTCTGGTTCTTATCAGTGAGATCTCTGATGAGCTACTCAGCCACTTCTTAAGCCTCCACATTCACGTGCAGAGCAAAAATCCTGGTTCTTTGGGGTGATTAGTGGAGAGCACACAACCAAGGTAATTCACTGAGCAGTATCAGATAGTAGTAAGTGCTCAATAAACACTGATTCCTTTCTCCTTCCCTCTCCTCTTTCTGAACTCAACTTTTCCTCCAAAGATTACACAGAACAAAGATTTGGCAGAGAAAATACAAATTCATTTCAAGACCTTAAAAATATTAAATCACTGTAACACATTTAAAAAGGATAGGATCAGTTTGACACATTAAAAACTATTTTAAAATAGAGTGGACTACTTACAAAATGTTCGTTTCCCCGGTGAATCACTCACTGCAGTTTATCAGATCCCTGACTTAACATGAAATCTTCCTGGTGCCAGGCATTAGCAGAGAAAAAAATTCAAAAGCTTACCCTCAATTAAAAAGTCTTAAATTCTCATTAGCGATGAGTCCGCCTGCCCTTGCTATAAGGTCTACAAGGATGTATTTCTTTTTATAAAGCTAAAAGAATAATTATTTCCAGCAGGTTGAATTAATAATAACATATTTTAAGGAATCAGAACTTATAGCCAGCACAGTTTGCTCTGCTGTCCCCAGTTCCTGGAAGGGAAGAGAAGCCTGGGTCTCCGGAATATTCTAAAGCAGCCCCATGAGGCAGTTCTTTGAACACCCCACTTTCAGGGCTCTGAATGGTCATATCTGCTGCACGACAGGAAGTGACAGCCGATGGACTCCAAGTGCAGTCCCAGGGTTAGAAACCTTGAGTCCTCCTGAGAACAAGGTAGAAACTTGGACTCCTAGGTCCCACCCAGACCTTCAGGATCAGAACCTTCCGTCTAACAAGATCCCCTAATGACTCACACACCCACGAAGGTTGACAAGCGCACTGCAGTCAGCACCGTGAGGGAAGAAATCAGTGGAAATAGGTTAAAAGGCACCACCTTCCCTCCAGAGCCTCTGGGCTCTCATTACTTGCCTGACTGCTGGGAAATCTGCCCGCTGCTCCCTATGTGAGGCTGTGCGAAAGCTTCCACAACTCCTCTCCTGAGAGTAGGGATGAGGTAATCAGCACTGCCTCCTACCAAAGCCCACAAGAAGTAATGCCTGGACAGAAGCAAGGTCATCTCAATGTCAAGCAAAACCCCTAACGGATGGGATACGACCTTGGAGCTGCCCTTGCCCTTTCTCCACCAGAAAATGGACTTGACCTGGATCTGTGCTTCCAACCTGTACTCAGCCGCTGCTAGGACAGAGGACTCAAGAGGCATGAGTAGATGCTCAAGAGCAGTGAGACGCTGTTTAGTGAAAGAGCTTTGGAGTTGGGCAGGCCTGCCGGGAATCGCAGCTCCGCTACTTGCTAAGAGCCATGGGCTTGTTTCCTTAGCTACAGAAGAGAAATTGCACCCCCTACTTTAGAGCTGAGCACTAATTCCCTCATCAGTTATTTACTGAGTGCCAACTATATACTTGGAGCTGAGGCGGCAACTGAGCTGGCCGCTCAGTGCCCTGTCACTGTGGGGTGGCTAGTGCGGTGACAGGAAGCCCATGTGCCGCAGTACTCCCGTAAGCACCACCTGAATCATGCTTGGAGGCTCAGCTGGGGCTGCCTGGAAGTAGCTCCGCTGAGAGCTGACCTCTGAAGAGGCGTGGTCAGGAGAAGGGGTGGGAAGACTAAGAGAAGGCTGGGGGGTAAGCAAGACACAGATCATGAGGGGATTGCAAACCACATTTAGGGGCCTGGACTCCCTCCTGAGGACCGTGGGACCCCGAGGGTTTTAAGGTCTTGAATCAAAATGTGACACAACAGGCTGGAATTTGATAAGCTACAGTGAGGCAAAAGTCAAATACTGCACATTTGAAAGCATTCAGTTCTTTCCTTCTGTCTCCTGCAAGGCAGCAATCACAGCATCCAGAAGCCACTGTGCAATCAAGTCAACCCACCCACCAGAACAGGCTGTTCTCCTCTCCCCTGTCAGCAAAGTCAAGGCGCATGCTCTCCAGGTGCTACACAGGGAAGAGAAGAGACCAGCAGAAAAGCATATACATCCCTTCCTTTCTCAACCGCAAATGAATGACAATCAAGACTGCATCCGCTTAACCGAAGCACGTGGCCAGGACAGGGCTACCCTGGGTCAGTCTAGGAACCTAAGTAATTCCTTTATTACCCATTTCCACTTTCCAGCTCTCCTGTATCAAATTTCCTAACACTTATTTCCCACATTTGAGTGCTTTATAAACCACACTGAGATTATACTGGGATGTGAAAGTCCCTTAAGTGCGAATCTTCCTTCGAGAGTTACTCAAAAGCAGCTGCCAGAGGAACACTACTGTTGCAGAACTCTGCGAAGGAAATGCGGAGAAGCCTCCTAATGTGAAAATGCCTCTCATCCGTTAGGTAATAAGACACCACTTACCATTAAAGCTTTTATTCTTTCTCTTGTCTGCTAAGAGAAGGTCTGCTAAGAGACTTTCTGCATCATAGGCAGTGGAATCAGTAACACCTGGGCTTTCTTCTTTTTGTATAATTCTCTATTTTATAAATGTCCCATAATCACATAAAAAAACTAGAATGTGTCTAGGTAGATTTTGCCATGTAATTTATTTTACTTCATTTTAGCTTTGGAATAAAATAACTATTAGTTGGCCAGAACAAAAGAGAAAGGGGAGAGAGAAATCTACATGTGTGTGTGTTTTATGATTTTAATGACGCATAAACTAGATCTTTTCTACAGGCTCTTCCAACACACGCTGCACTTCATGAATTCTTTTTTCATCTCCGTGTCATAATTAAACGTCATCAGATGGTAGCTGTACTCACCTGAGCATCTTGTTCAACTTGATTTTCATCAGTTCCAACATCAGAGTCTCTATTTGCCTGTAAGATAAAATATGTCACATTACTGAATTATACTGCATGTTTCTTCTGATGATTATGGACATAAACCTTTTTCTCTCAGCAATACCATGCTTTTTACTAATATCCTATCAATCCTAGTATTTCACACTATCCCAACTCCAAAACTAATCTGATTCCCCTAATTTTAGATTTTGTGGAAAAGGAGGATATGTACTATGGTCAAAAACAAGTAGATGTGTTAGTTATTAATAGTTTAGCTAAATATATATAATTTTAAGTTTATATAAATATAAGTAAGGTACAGGCAACATTCAGCAACCCCAGTAGGAAGTACCAGAAATTACTAAAAAGAATTTTATGTGGCTTCACTTCATAGAGTCAGGGCAGTCCAACCTCAGACTTTTTAGTCCAGTATGATTCATTCCCACCCAGTACCTGAAGGAGAACCACCAACATCCTCTGGTAGTTCCCTGATGTATCTCCCACCACGTCATCTTCCAGGCTTGAGCCATATTCTGCAACATAATTATTTCACACTTACTTACAGTTTCTATCAACCAAAAAAAGATATCCTACCCCATTAATCAAATGCAAATGACAAAAGGAAGAAATACTGTATTTGCTAAACATGAGTGCTTTGAGGACTGTATGCAGATACTTTCATGAGGCTCAACAAAAATTAAAGTCTCTCAAAAGCACTTGATTCAAGTTCAAATCATGACTCAGTCAATTAGAAATGCTTTAACTGTGTATTTGTTACTCGAAAGACACATGCAAGTGCTGCAAAGCCTCTCAAACATCATCAGTCACAACTTTAAGCTTTGTTTTGCTTTCTTCAAATGTTTTACATAATTGGTTTCCAAATATCTTCCATCCTTTGAGTTTCCTTTCCCTGTGCATAGCCATCCTTCCCTCTAATAAGATATTTTTCCTCTACAGCAAATAAAGTTAACTTTGAGAGACAGCAATGACATTTTAAAGTGCAACCTTCCTACCTCTACTGCCAACTCTTCAACATAAGGTCACAGGAAAAGGGAGACCTCAATACGGATGGGGCCTCCACGTCCCTCCCACTCACACTCAGGTAGCTTCCATTGCAAGAACACAGACATTACCTTAGTGTACTTAAACATTTAAGCACTATTTGAAAGCAGGTGAACTTTAAAACCCTAAAGCCTCTATTTTAAAAGGAAAAAAATTACTATGTTTATTCCAACTAATTTCCCAAACAAAACCTTGCAGGAATCTGATTCCTTATTCTGTTCCCACACATGTAAATACTCAACCATCAAATCCTATCAAACGGTTTCTTTTCTCTCTGGTTTAAGCTTGTCAAACCTCCCACTACAATAGCTAGGGCCATAACTACTGAACACCTAGCTGACCTCCTCACACATCTGGCTACCAAATAAGCCTCCAGATTCAAAACTCCTTCCTTCCTTCAATTCCTCCTTCAGCACTCCACTGCCCACTTAGGAACTTACAGTGCCTTTGAATGAAGCCCAAATTCATCATCCAGTCATGCAAAACCATCTGTGACCTAGCCCAGCAATAACAAACCCCTTAGAGCTTTCAAGGATACAAAGAACCTGGTGCGAGCCGCAGGATCACCACCACTCACCTGGCCTAATCTGGCGTATTCACTTTATCTTCCTAATGGGCACACATGGCTCCTCCACTACAGTTGGGCTCTTTCTGTCCCCACAGTCTACTCTCCTCAGTCTAGGGTCCATGCCATGGAGGACGGTGGGCACCTGTGCCCAAAATACCTCCTTTTCCTATTAAAATCCATTGTCTTTTCTTCCTCCCTTTTCTGAGTGACAAGTGTCAAATAAAAATTGTATTCACTTGAGGTATACACCCCAGTGTTTTGATGCACGCATGATTACCACCAACTAATCAGTGTATCATCTCACGTAGTTGTGTGTGTATGTGTGTGTGTGTGTGTGTGTGTGTGGTGCACACATTTAAAACTTACTTTCTTGGAAAATTTCACGTATACAGTACTATTAAACTAGTCACTATGCTATATATCAGGTGTCCACAAGTCTTCATGCTGCCTAACTAAAACACTGTGCCCTGTGCCCAGTATCCCTCGTCACCTTCCCCTCCCCCTCCCAGCACCCAGACCCTGGCAACCACCATTCTACTATCCACTTCTATCGGTTCAACTTTTTAAATTCCACACATAAGTGAGATAGTGTAGTTATCTGCCTTCCTGCACCTGGCTTTTTTCATTTAGAACACGTTTAATGTTCATCTTTGCTTCCAAGTTCCATGCATAGGATGCTCTAAGTTGAGCATTCTATGGTGGACCCAAAAGGAAATAAAAAAAAAAGTAAGATGGACCCGAAAGGAAAATCAAAATGTAAATGATAGGAGTTCCCAACTTAAGGCTGAGTAAACTGTATCGTGTGTGTGTGTGTGTGTGTGTGTGTGCGTGTGTGTGTGCACGCATACACACTATCTCTTCAGCCACTCACTTCAAAACAGATATCAGTAAGCCCACTTAGATTTGAAAGTCTGCTGACTGTCTTACTTGCACCATGAACCCTCCCCAACACCCAAACATCTGATGATTTTCATAGTTGACATTAGTTTGAATCTCACTATTGTTTACTGCAACTGTACTAAGTCATGTCACCCCTAGCCCTCAGGCTTCATGCACACACCTTGAGGACAGGAGTTGTGTTTGCACAGCTAGGACAGTGTCAGATACACAGCTAGTGCTCAAAAACATGGCTGAATAGTATGCGTCACACAGCCATTGTCGCCTTTGAGCACCTCACTTGCCACCCAGCAGCACAAAAGCTCAATCATCAATCTCAACAGTCCCAGAAAGAGATCCTTGAAGGATGCATCAAATAAGAGCTTACCTAAGAGCCAAGGTACCTTACCTAAGAGCTAAGGTACATGTGGCCCTTCTGCTTCAATGGTCGGGGCCTCTCTAACTATAAAAACAAAAACATGAGAGATGCCACACTTTGGAAAGTTAATTATTTAGTCTAAATAATGGTCTAAGTTTCATACTGTTCTGACTTGATGGGTTACCCAAGTCATATCTATGATCAACAAACTAACACTGAGATATAAGGCGCGAGACGTGGAGTCTGCGCACTGCACTAACAACCTAGATGGCCTGGTCCTTCTCAGAGGAGGGGGAAAGAGTGGTACGTGGGAAATCTGACAAGAGAGGAAGACTCTCTACCTTGCCTTTCGTCTCACTTGCTTGATTCCATTCATAGGATACTCTAGGTCAAAATTTAAAAGGAAAAGAAAAATGAAAGTGCAAAGTATATTACTCAAGCACTGCTGTCAGCCAAAACAAATACACACATACTCAAGCACTTCCAGCTCTAACCTGGAAAAGTCTGGGTTCCTTTTCCCATGTTCACCAAAATGCTTTACAGATAACTCTTAACTTCCACCAGAGTAAGGCTAAACTTATTTGAAGGAAGAAATAGTACTTATAAACACATTAAACTAATGTAAAAGAAAAATAATCTGTATATTCCTCTAATACTTTAAATCCTACACAAAAATAAAATTCATCTTTATTTGTAGTTTCTTAGAAACTGCTTGAAATAGTTACAGACTGAAAGGCAAGCGTTCTTTTTTTTAAACTAAAGAAGAAAAATAGTTTAAATTATAGTTCATTCATCCATTCACTTTTATTCAACAATCTTGTATTTCCTGCCTGCTGTGTTTGTAAAAGCACTGCATTCAGGTTTGACAAATGAAAGTGATGAAGACAGGTGGTACAGAATTCAAAATATTTACCTTCTTCATAAACTTGCTTTATGGCTCTTATTTCTTCAGGTGTCCTTGAAGCAATAATTTCTGTCAGTACTTTTTCATTTGTCCCAGCTCCCTGTTTAGAAATTTATTTTTAAGAGAGAAAATATGTCACTAAGATTAAAAAGGAAATTATCTTCCTAAAATAGATGTTATCAAATTGCATAATCATTTAAGTATCACCCAACACAACATGAACTACTTCATTTACAAGTTCTATTAGTGATAGGAAATTTTTAATTAATTAATTAATTTTATCTCCAAAAAGTTTTATTTCTTTTCTCTTTTGTCTAATGAAAATAATGTTTATTGTTAAATATATGTATATACTCTTACATATGTATATCCATAT